TGAACTTGGACAGTAAGGATGTAGTAATTGTAACAATGTCCGCCAGGTGGACCTCATAGAATATGAGTTCCCTGATTGGGGCTGTGTATCTGTCCAATTAGGGAGCCCTGGCTGACAGAGAAAAACAGGAGTGTCAGACATCCTGACTCTCTAAGAGCTGGCTCTCAGGGAGTGGGATCAGTCAAGGACTTTCCATGTGTAAATAAAGGGTGGCTTGTTAATAGGATCCCAATTTCTGTGGAGTTACTTCAATGACAAATGGAGAGCAGAATTATTGCAAAGACAGAGCCTTGTTTAACCTCAGTTTGCTGTCAGCACAGTCTGTGGTTGCTCCATTTCTGAGGATCATGGCCTGAAGTTTACAGTCAGAGGATGGTGACATATTTCTGACAACAGCTGAACTTGAGAAAGTAACTCTACAAACCTACCTAATCACATGGTCAAAGATTTATATGAGGTTGAAAGAAGCTGTGGAGAGAGTTGCATGCTAAACCTGGATCTGTTTTGTCAACTTGTCACACAGTCAAGAACATGTCACTGTTACCCTCGATTATGTCCTTTCCTGGCCCACTCTGTTACTTCTGTCTCTGAGCTATTCTGTTACTGCTGTCCCTGAGCCATCCTGTTACTGCTGTTCCTGAACAATCCTGTCACTGCTGTTCCTGAACAATCCTGTCACTGCTGTCCCTGAACCATCCTGTCACTGCTGTCCCTGAACCATCCTGTTACTGCTGTCCCTGAACCATCCTGTCACTGCTGTCTCTGAACTGGCGAGTGAGCAAAGAAGTAGCAGATGGAATGTAATGTGGGAAAGTATGAGGTTATGAGCTTTGGTTAGAAAAATAGAGGTGTAGACAATTTTCTAAGTGGGGAAAGGCTTCGGAAATCTAAAGTGCAAAGGGACTTGTGAGTCCTGGTTCAGGACACTCTTTAGGTTAGCATGCAGGTCCAGTTGGCATTTAGGAAGTCATTTCATTCATTTCAAGAGGGCTAGAATACAACAGCAGAGATGTACTTCTAAGGTTATGTGAGGTACTTGTCAGATTGCATTTGGAATGTTGTGAGCAGTTTTTGGTCCACTATCAGAGAAGGATGTGAGGGGGTCCAGGGGAAGTTTACAAGTAAGATCCTGGGCATGAAAGACTTGTCATTTGAGGAGCAATTGAAGATTCTGGGCCTGTACTTAGTGCAGTTTAGAAGGATGAGGGTGACCCAATTGAAACTGACAGAATACTGAGAGGCCTGGATAGAGTGGATGTTGAGAAGATGTTTCCACTAGTAGGAGAGACTTGGGCCCAAGGGCACAGCCTCTGAGTGAAGGGACAATGCTTTAGAACTGAGATGAGGAGAAATTTCTTCAGCCAGATTGTGCTTAATCTGTGGATTATATTGCTGCAGAGGGCTGTGGAGGCCAATCATTGAGTGTGTTTAAGACAGCGATAGATAGGTTCATGATTAGTAGGGACATTAATGATTACCGAGCAAATATGGAAGAATGGGTTGAGAAACATATCAGCCATGATTGAATAGTGGAGCAGACCCAATGGGCCAGATGACCTAATTCTGCGCCTGCATTCTATAGTCTTGTGGTCTTATGGTTTTGTGGGATCACTTAGCTCTGTCTATCACTTGCTGCCAATGCAGTTTAGCACCCAGGTAGTCCTGTTCTGTAACTTCATCAGGTTGACACCTCATTTTCAGCTATGTGTGGTGCTCCTCCTGGCATGCCCTCCTGCACTCTCCATTGAGCCAGCATTGGTTCCCTGGCTTGGTGTTGGTAGAGTGTGGGATATGCCTAGCCAAGAGGTTGCAGGTTCTGTTGGAGTACAATTTGCCTGCTGCTAATGGTTCAACAGCACCTCATGGATTCCTGGTGTTAAATTGTTACATCTTATTGAAATTGGAACTAATCAGCAGGGCCACACAACACAATGGACATTATCCTCAATGTGAAGTTGAGTTTTCATCTCTATAAAGACTTTACAAAGATCAATTCTACCAATAATGTCACAGACAGATGCAGCTACAGTGTAGATTGTTGAGACATGGTCAATTACATTTTTCTCTCTTTTTGATTCCCCACCACCTGCTGCATACCCCAGTCAAACATCAAAGTCCTTTCAGACTCAACCAGCTCAATCAGTAATTGGGCTACCAAGACACTCTTGGTGCTGGACATTGAAATCCCCCACCGAGAGTACATTCTGTGTCCTTGCCACCCTTACTGCTTCCTTCAAGTGGTGATCAATTACTGGAATATTGATTATTAATTTGAGGTAGGGTGGTGATGTTTCTTTGCACATATTTGACCGGATGTGCCATTAGACTTCATGGGGTCCAGAGTCAATGTGGATTCTTACGGTAATTCCCTCCAGATTGTAAATCCACTGCACCATTCCCTCAGCTGAGCCAGTCCTGCTAGAGGGACAGGACATATCCAGGGATGGTCATGGTGGTGCCTGGGACACCGAATGTGTGATTACATGAAAATGATTACATTAGGTTGTTGCTTCACGATTCACAGCCATCCAAATTTTAGACCAAGACCGAGATATTAGAACCAAGGACTTTAGAAGGTTGAGAGGGCTGTGTACAGTGTTGTCATTCCCAGTGTCTAGATTAAAGCCAGGTGACCTGGTTTGATTCTTATGGGTTTTGTAACATTTTGTGACAATTGAGCATTCTGATTGGTTATTTCAGAGGATATTCAAAAATGAACTACTGTTGTGGTCTGGGGTCACATATTGGCTAGACGAGCTAAGGATAGCAGATTTCTTCAAAAAGGGGTTTAGTGAAGTGGTGTTTTCGTGGTAATTGTTGATGATTCCATGGTCATTGTTACTGAGAACAGCTTTCCAAATCAAGGTTTATTAACTGAAGTTAAATTCCACCAGGTGCCATGATAATTTAAACCCAAGTTTTCAGAGCATTAGCCGAAGCCTTTTATGAGTATCAATGGCATATCCATTATGTCACTGCCTCCTCACAAACATTTTTTTTTTTCTTTTTATCCCCTTCCTAAACCTTTTTGCCTCCATTTGCTATTCTCTGTTCAGGTGTTCTGCCTTTCCAAATTCCCTCCGGCAATTTTAAGTAGTCCTTGAACTTCCTGAACTCTTGCCACTATCACAGGCTTGACTGTTTAAGAGACAGCCATTCAATGCTCTTCTTGACATCCTTTGTTGTACTTTCTGAAGCATTTAATGCTTGATTATCAAAAGCAGTGACTCCAACTGTCCATCCACTAAAAGACAGTAAGAAATAGATCACGCACATGCATCCCATAGTGTCCCACAGTTTGGCGCATAACTGCATTACCAGAGTCTCCAATCTCCAGCCATCACTGCCACCTCATAAATTGTAACTCCATTCACCTTAGACTACACTCATATTAATTCAAGACAGGGTGCCCCCAATGATTATGCTCCCAGATGATAAGAGATGAATTTCCTCCCTTTTTAATTCAAACCCTCTCTAGGTTGCCAGAAGGATAATTTTAAAAAAAGGTCCCTTCTGTCATAAATACAGTTTCCCAATTGAACTGTATTTATGTTTTAAAAGGAGACAAATTAACCAGGCTCACTTGAATAAAGAACGAGGTCAGCTTATTAGCTGCAAACATGACAAAATATAACAAAACACTAGGCACATACAACAGCTTAAACAAATATATGAATTGATCTCCGGATTATGTGATGGGTAGATGGTGGAATGTTGCACTGTTAATTTGGATGGTATTGATAAAATGGATTTTGGTTGTAAAGCAATTGATTTTGAGATTGTTAACTCTGCAGGTTAGCTGACGGCCTTTAGTTCTATTTCCTTTTTGATGGTGACTCCACTGGCTGGACTGACGTCCAGCACACAGAGTAAGTGAGAGTTTTCTTTCCCTGCAATGCAGGGCTATCTGACGGCTGTCCTCAAACTTTGACCTGAAGGTTCGGAAAAAGATATCAGAGTTGAAACTTTAACTTTAATTCTAAACCTGTCGAGTTACTCCAGCACCTCTGGTTTTTATTTCAGAGTTCTGACATCAACAGTATTTTGCTTTTCTGGCAAGCTCTGATCACCAGAGACCATCCACCTTGTCAGGGGTGAGGGGAGGGAGAATAGATTACTGTATGATAATTAAATTTGACAGGATTTCTTTGTCCCTAGGATCTCTTCAGCCACCTCACATATCTTTTCCATTCTCCTACAGGGTTGACAAAGACCTATCACTACACTGGTTAATGTTAAGCCAATGTTTCTACGAGATGTTATGTGTGCATGAAATGTGTATGTGTGCATATGTATGTGCGTGTGGGTGTGTGTTCATTCACCAGTATGAAGCAGAGACAATGTCTGCATAAGTATGAGTGTGGTTCAGTCTCTGGAGCAAAATTGAGAATGTTACCCACTAAGCCACAGCTGATTCTTCAATGTGTTAGAAAAGCCAGCAGCACTGTGCTGATGGGAGAATTATTTATTCAACACTGTTATTTTGGAGCCAATAATTGTTCTTTGTGCTTTCTCCTTACTTTAGGAGGTTGAAAACTTGAATGCAAAGTGTTCTACAGCTTTCTGCTGTTGCTGACTCCAATTTTAGCTTGTGGTAAGGAGAGTTGAAATGCCATTGGTCTGATCTCTGAGGATATCTGTAAAGGTCAATGGATACTAGAAGTAAGGGAACAATCAGCACTGCTTTAGATGTTGTATTAGCTTGTTGGTGTTGGTTCCATTCCAATGAGCAATCTAGAAAATGCACAATGCTGAGTGAGCAGAGCTTTCAATAATTTCCCAAGTGACTCCTCAGACTGACCATTTCTGCATCACCCATGCTGGAAAAGATGGAATTCATCCAATTCAGTAGTTGCCTATAGGATCACTCTTCCATGAATGGGTCAAAATCATTCATGTGAGAGGTAGCTGCATCTTAAAACAATATGCTGTGTAAATGTTCTCTCATTTTAATGATGGGTCCACAGTGATTCATGTGAACTGTTTCCTCTTACCTCTAGATCACTCCTACCATGGGATTATGTCTTCACCAATCATTCTTCCAATGGTTCTTTCCCTTGTTATTGGTGCTGTGCTGATTTGGATCTAGTCCTGCCTTCAATCCAATGGTATGGAACAATATCATTGTGAAATTAACTGCACTCACTCACTTCCTCTTAGTTCAGGGTTTCTGTGATCATGATTCTTCACTCAAAGTATGATGGCTTTCAAAGTATTTCCTGATGTTTGTGAGACCGATGTCCCCTCAACATGTAGTGCCTTCCGTGCCCAATAATTGGCAATGGAAATGGAGAACTATTGGGAGGAGGGAGAGATGCATATGGCACAGATCAATTACAGCAATCTGTCTGAGTATCCTTTATATTGAGTTCAAAGATAACTGAATCAGTGTAAAAACTTATGTTAAGAATAAAACCTTGTCAATGACCTTTGCTGGTTTTGTGCTTTTTGCATCTGAAATTGCATCACAGTGGCATCAAGAAGTTGACGTCAAGCCTCAAGGAAGTGATATTAAGAATACTTATTAAAAACGTGTTCTAAAAGGTGAATCACAATCTATATTTTGATGTGGGGATCAATTACAAAATTCCTCAGTTTTTCAGATGATACAAAATGTATGGGATGTGAGATGTGGCGTACAAGCAAGAAATATTTCAAGGGGATTTTGACAGGTTTACTGAGTGAGCAAGAGCATAACAGATGGAAGAAAATGTGGATCAGTGTGAGGTTATTCACTTTGATAGAATGAAGCTACAGAGTATTTCCTAAATGGTGAGAGATTGGAAAGTGTGGATGTTCAAAGGGAACTAGATGTCCTTGTTCATAAGTCATTGAAATCTAACATGCAAATGTAGTAAGCAATTCAGAAGGTAAACAATGTGGATCTAGAACCAAGGGGTATGATCTAAGAGTAAAAGGCAAACCATTTACAACTGAGATGAGGAGGAACTCCTTGACTCAGAGAGTGATGAATCACTGGGTTACTCTATTTCAGAGGACAGTGGAAGCTCAGTCATCAAGTAACTTCAGTACATCCCTAAGTAATTTGGTGTTGTGATCCATTGAGCTACCTTCCTTGGAATGAACAGAAAAAAAGGTTCAGAATCAGCATGTAATGTCATATTGTATTTATCTTTCAGATTGCCCTGTCTTGCTTCTGGGAACTTCTGGGAAGTTCTTCTTGAAATCTAATCTTGCCTCATTTTGTCAACTTCATCCATTTTTCTGATCTAATGTTTAACTATTAGCACACATTCCTGCTGAGAAGGGATGTTTCTTGTTTCTGATGAACAGAAAGCATTTTGGTTATTTCTTCATCCTTATAATGCAGACGAACAAACCTTGTCCTCTGACTTTTCGCTTTGTTCCTCCTGGGCCTTGTGGTTTAATTGTTGACAGTTTAAATTTAACTTGTTTCAGCCACTTTAAGTTGTCCACTTGGATAAACGTGCTTGTTCCAATGGCATTTAAATTTAATCAAACATTTTGCTTCCTTCAAATTTACTGACCTGAATTTATTGTCTCGGTCAGGAACTTCATTTAAAACTTCCAGCCTATTTGGTTCCTGTTCATCTGCCTCTTGTGTTTTACTTCTTTTATTACTTCATAGTATTACTTTTGAATGATATTTTATTTTAAATATCTGACTTTTCCACAATTATAAACTTCAGCTGCCTCTGCCGTTCGAACATGATGCTTATATGGTCCGTTCACACCACACTGCTGTATTTCAAGATGACAGTTCGAGTGTTTTACCCTTTTTGGCAGGTTTTCAGTTTGGAGTGACCTCTGCCTTTGGGGCCTACATTCTGGAAATCAGACTTGGTGATTTTCATGAAGTCTCATGCACAATCACCCAACTCTACTTTCAGATCTTGGTGCTGCCCACCTTTATGACTGCTGAATCCTGTCTAGCTTACATTTAATCTGACAAAGCCTCATCTCTGACCCCAACAACTGTGGGGTTTTGTGACTTATGTAGCAGTCATTTATAAAGGCATCAATGGACTCCACACATCATTTCCTGCCCTTATTAGATCTAGCCTTTTAAATGATCAGGTTGCAATGCTGGGGCTGAGTATGAGACAAAGGCAGGACTTCAGTCCATCCCTTACTTGCTTAAGGCATCATCTGGGATGGAGGCTATTGCATATAGCAATGTACAGACCTAATCCTGACAATCTTGGAACAGCTCTGGAAGAGGTAAGGGTGCTTCAATTGTTCTGGAATGCTGAGAAAGGTCTTCTCCCTATGACTTAATTGCTCCAGTTCTTTCTGATTTCTAGGGACTGTGATCTCATGCTGACTGGTCTGTGGTGAACATTGTGTTTGCTTCTTTGCAGGGTCTGCTGTCAAGTTGCTTGCCGTTTTTTTGTTGTTGCCTCCTGTACTTTTTCTTCCTGCCATAGGTTCATTAAGGCATTGCCACTATATTTTGTCCTTTGGTGTGTACAAGGGCTTATTTCTTCTTTTCAGATATCATGCCTCAGTCTGTGTTCCTTTTCATCATAATGCTATATTGACAGCAGGAATATTTTCAGCACAATTTCTAACAATAATGTTGGGACATCTTATCTCAATGGGATCTTTTCTACTCTGCTCCCCATATGTTCCCACATCATTGCTACAGCTTTATTGCATCAATCTCTCCTTGGATCCTACTGTTAACTCATTACTCAGTACAGAATACTGTCACTGTGCACAATTATGGTGGAAGTGAATATTTAACTGGCAGATCAGTAGAAATCAAGTGGGATGTTTTGTTCTGAATGGATGACAAGCTTCTGAGCATTTTTGAAGTTTTACTGACCCAGGCAAGTGGGGAGTGCTCCATCAGACTCTTGACTTGTCTCTTGTAGATGATGGACAAACTTAGGAGAGTCAGGACTTGCTAACTTTCTTCTCTGAAACAGTTTACATAATTTTACAGTTGACTTCCAACTTTTTGAAAGTCATTTTACCCATCTTGAATTTTGTTCACCTCCATGTACATTTGTCAGCATTCACAGCAGGATGGAAGAAGCCCTCCCTTGGACCTTTAAGATGCAACTCACACAACACCAGCAGCAACAAGAACAGTGGCAGCAACATGAGCATAGGCAAAATCAGCATCAGACTTGATTTGATTTGGTTTGATTTGATTCATTGTAGTCACATGTACCTAAGTACAGTGAAAAGCTTTGTTTGCAAGCAATACAGATAGATCATCGTAAGCAGGTTGGTGAGAGTCGGCTGAGCCACCTGAGTAAGAAGAGGTGTTGTTGTGCCTTCTTGGCTGTTGCGTCTATGTGGGAAATTCAGGACAGGTTGTCGGTTCTTGTCATTCCTAGGAACTTGACGCTCTCAACCCTCTCAACCTCCACTCCATTGATGCAGATGAAGGTATGTTCTCCTCCTTTCTTTCTGAAGTCAATAATCAGTTCTTTTGTTTTACCAATACTGAGAGAGAGGTTTTTATCATTGCACCACGACACCAACGCCTCTATCTCTTTTCTGTATTATGACTCATCATTGTTTGATATCCATCCTATCACAGTGGAGTCACCAGCAAACTTGCAGATGGAATATGTTTGGAATTTGGCTTCACAGATGTGGGTGTACAGGAAGTACAGTAGGAGGCTGAGAACGCATCCTTGGGGGGGGGCCACAGTGTTGACGGTTATTGTGGAGGAGGTGCAGTCATTTATCTTCACTGAGTGTGGTCTATGGGTCAGGAAGCTGAGGATCTCGTTGCAGAAGGTGGAGCCAAGACCTCAGTCTCAGAGTTTTGAGATCAGTCTGAGTCTGATGTAGGTGTCCTTGTTGTCCAGATGTTCCAGGGATAAGTGTGAGGCTAGGGAAATGGCATCCACTGTGGACTTGTTGCGTCGGTAGGCAAATTACAAGGGATCAAAGCGGCTGGGAGGCTCAGGTTGATGTGGGTCACAACCAGCATCTCAAAGCACTTCATGATTATGGAGGTCAGAGCCAGTGGGCGGTAGTGATTAAGGCACTTTGCACGTGTTTTCTTTGGTACTGGAATGATGGTGGTCTTCTTGAAGCAGGTAGGGACTTCGGCTTTTAAGGGGGGTATTTCAAGATGTCAGTGAATACCTCCACCAGCTGGTCTGCACAGGATCTAAGTGCATGGATGAGGACTCTGTCACTTTTCTTGGGTTAACTTTCAGAAAGACTGATCTGATGTCTGCAGCGATGACAGTGGGCAGAAGTGCGCTCAGTGCTGTCAAGGTAGGTGACTCCGTGCTGCTGGCATTCTGCTCAAACCGAGTATAGCATTGAGCTCATCAGGGAGGGATGTATTTTTTGTCCATTCTCTTGCTGTGCTTCATTTTGTATTTTTAACCTCAGTCAAATGCCAGCTCACAGGACAATAGGGATTTATATGGTGAATCAGCTCCATCACAGGGCTCAAAGTTAGGAAGATGTGTCTCATGAAGCTTAGCTTCTCAGTGCAGCTCAATGTCGGCTTCTGCTGTCTGTTTCTTCCCAATGAATTCATTGTCTTGTATAAAACCAGATGGTTCACTTCTATCCTCAACTGCCTCAGTGTTCCTGGTGCAACACTGAGGGAAATGGGGTGAGGAGGCATGGGATTGGAAGGTGTGAAATTGGGCAATTTGCTCCTCTCTGACTCCAGTGCAGTATTGAAAGAAATATGATCATGTGGGGGTCATGGTTCATAGAGGTCTAGTCAGAGCCAAGAGGGAGATCAGTGTATAAGGTTGAAAAGGATTTACAATTAAAGGACCTTACCAACATTAATCAAAACAAATAAGCACAAAATTCGCAGTAGCCTTTTCCGATGAATCATGGAAGGGCTGCTGCTCAGAAGCCTCTGTGCTAGCTGGTGATATAGCAAGCCACCCAAGCCCACTCCCCTGTCTTCTTCCAGTAACTCAAAAAATATTTCATGCATTGGAAAATTATTAGATGTTGTGAAAGGATCTCAAACCAGTGAGGTTCTGTATTTACAAAAACACATTATTATATGCACAATGATATATTTCTCCAATATTGTGTTGTTCACCCATTTAATATTTTCATCAGTTTCAGCACAACCTGAATCCACTCTCTGTTACCCAGAATCCAATGACACTAATAAGGAACAGGACCTGAGTGAATTTCATACACAGAATGAAATAGGGCCTGTTGAGGAATTACAGCTAGATGCTGGATTATCACCACATATCCCAGTGGAATGGAATGAAAGACCAATTGTGTGGGAACAAAGTTTAGTCCAAACAAAAACTTCAACCCCTGAAAACAATGTTTTTGATATTAATACAATAGAATATTCTCCAGCCAACCGCATCACAGAACTAATAACCCAACTT